GGGGATGCCAAGTAAATGAGAAAGAAGAAAAGTTAAATATAAATGTATATAAAATCTTGTGTATCTAAATGTAATTTTTTAAAGTTGAAATTAAAATTTAAAAATGAAAGTATCCCAACCTGATCATTGCTTTTCTTTATTCCCCTTGCAGTCTGACTATAAGCCCAACTCACAATTTCTCCACATAGAAAAGTACCACTTGACTATATAGTTAATACCTATTAGTTTTTTCCTCTTACAATGGGGCAAGAAGGTTTCCAAATCTAAGTTGATAATCTTTTTGCCAGCCCTGAAAAGGCAGAGAGAAACTTATTAAATATCACTTGATCATTTCAGAAAAATAGCGTTTCCCTAGAAAGAAAGTGCACTGACAGCAGGTTTTTCCAGGATAACTTCCAGCTGAGATTGTGGGCCAGGAGTCAGCACCAGCAACGTCTGGGTGATGACAGGCTTCTCTGTGCCACGGAGGCAGAAGGCATCTCCGCCAAGGGGCTCGCAGCGCAGAGGACAGAGCTCGCTCCGACTAACGGGGAGATGACGCAGCAGGAGGCCTCGCCCACGCAGGCCCAGATGTCCTCGCCGCTCTGACTGCGTCTCGTGCATCTCGCTGTTGTAATAGCGCTCATTTGTTTGACTCATTTATATGATTATCCTTAAAAGCATATGAACTCTGCCACGTTCACTCCTGAAATCCCAGAGCACTTATAATGCCCTTGTTCAGGAAATATTTGTTAAGAACCAACCCTCTTTTTGTCTCTGGTGCAAAAAGTGAAAAAATGCTGTAGTGAAAACATCAGCCACATACTAAGCCCAAATAGTGGAGCAGAAAGATACCACCACGCACATCATGAAGTTTCAGAATTCCAGGGTTAGAGGCTTAGAAAGTCGCCTAGAAAGGACCGGAAAGCGCAGTGGCTCAGCCTTCCCCGAGTGGGTGCTAGGTGTCAGGATGCGGCATGGCGCCTTCCAGGCTCCTTTTCAGCCGAGAACTCTCTTCAGCCAAGTCATCTGTGAAACCAAAAGGTCGCCGACAGCCACTGTTAGACACACGGTCTCCAAAACTCACCCTCCCAGACACGCCTTCCAGACAAGGTACTTGAGGGTTTACAGCAAATCGAGGGCGTAACTCAAGAAGGAGGACAAGGGCGTCCCAGGCGACTGAGCTGATAGGTTGAAGCCAGCATCACTGGGTGGGCGTGACGTTTGGCTGAGGATTTTGCATGTGTGGTTCCTTCTGCTCAGTCTGCAAGTCCTCCTTCCCACGGTAGCAGCCTGGGTTAATAGAAATGGTGCAGTGACACAAACAAGTTTTATTTAAAGATAAAAGAGCAATACCGGCTCCAGAAAGCTCCACAAATGCCCAACAAGCATGGGAAAAGATGCTCAACATCACTAGTCATTAGGGAAATGCAAAGCAACCCCACAATAAGTCATCAAATTAATGAGAATAGAACGGTGGTTGCCAGGGGCTGGGGAGAGGGGGCAACGGGCAGTGTTGGACCGTTTTGCAAGATGAAACGCGTTCTGGGCTGTGTAACGGTGTGAGTGTGCATTCCTGAGCTGCTCGCTTACAGATGGTTGAGATGGTAAACTTCATGTGCATTTGATCGCAATTAAAAACTTTATAAACGAAGCAGAGGATATTAGAGCACTCTGGCAGGGTGCTCCCAGTCTAGAGAGAGCAGGCTGAGGGCGGGAAGAACTCGGGAACGCAGTGGGAGAAAGGGCCCATGTTCTTAACTGGAGGAAGGTGAGGGGTAAAAAAACAATTTTGTCAGGAAGTTAGTACAAGAGGAGAAGGAAAACAGTAGGAACTCTAGAAGGAACAGCTACACAAGAAGTAAAATGTAATGACAGTATGCTCCCCAGCGCTGTACGGCTCATTTTTATATTCTTTAGGAAGCAAACGACATTTATGGGTTTTACTGAAGGTTGTGATGGGGTGGAAGATGGGTTTATTGTAAGGACCACATCCATATCCATCACTATAGGGGTTACGTTGCTAATGTCTCCAGTCGTTAAGTCAAGAGAGAGCAAACCCAAGCCAGGATTTGGAGATGTGGAGGGACGTGTCCCCTTCATGGTGGACGTGGGGTTAAGTGAGAAAGGAAGGCAGAAGAGAGGAACCACCTGCTCCCACTGTTCTTTTTAGAAGACGGGTCCGTGTGTGGCCACAGGCAGAGCGGTAAGGAGCCCGGGGAGGGCCTGTGGGCGCTGGCAAGGGGTCTGTCTTGCTGTGTATCTCTTATGTTGTGTTGGTTTTCCCATGAGCAGGTATTATTTTACAGAGGAAACTGTGATTCGATGTTGGTTTTTCAGTTATTAATGAAAAGTGGCAGAATTGTACACTGAGAGTTAGAAGTAGGAGGAGTTACTGCTCGCTGGGGGGAATTAGATGCGGCGTTTGGAAGCATACCTTGAGTTGTGCTTTGTCATATAAACACGAGCTCAGGCGGGAAAGTGTAGGATACCTCCCACTGCATGAGCCATGAGTGCTTTATTTGCAGCATTTTATTTCACTGTTACAGTAAAACCTTAACTGTACTGCTGGGGGAATAGCTGGCTTTAATTAATTTAATTTTCAGAGTAATAGAATTAAGCAAAAACCATTTTCCATTTTCTATTGAGTACCTTTTAATAATGTAGTTATACTTGCCTACTGTAAGTTTAATATCTGGAGATAATTTAAGACTTTCATTGTGCTGTATGCAGATTAAGACAATATAGCAATGGGACCCTGGCCGGTGTTGCTCAGTGGTTAGAGCGTCGGCCCCAGCACTGAAGGGTCGCAGATTTAATTCCAGTCAAGAGCATGTACCTGGATTGCAGGTTCCATTCCCACCCTGGTCAGGGTGCGTGTGGGAGGCAACCAGTTGATATGTCTCTCTATCTCTTCACCCTCCTACTCTCTCAAAAAATCAATGGAAAAAAATATCCTCTGGTAAAGATTAATAAAACAAAACAAAACAAAAAAAGGAGCAATAGGGGTGGGTGACCACTACATGCCTGGTTTTTATTTGTTTACTTTTCCAGAGCTGTGTGGTGCAGCTTGCTGGCTATAGGACCAGCCCGTCACTCAGGGGCCTGCCTGGGCCTCCTAAGAATGTTGTAAATGTCGCCCTGGCTAGGTGGCTTGTTTGGAGCGTCATCCCGTACATCAGAAGGTTGCAGGTTTGATCCCCAGTCAGGGCGCATATGGGGAGCAACCAATCAATGTTTCTCCCCCGCCCTCTCTCTAAAATGAATAAAAACATATCCTTGGGTGAGGATTTTTTTTTTTTTTTTTTTTAGTGTTGTGAATTCAGATTTCTTAGTGTCTCCACACCTTTTAACTTGAAAATATTCCTGGAAAGTATCATCTAAGATGGGTGGGGAACCTTTTTTTCTGCCAAAGGCCATTTGGATATTTATAACATCATTTGAGGGCCATATAAAATTATCAACTTAAAAACTAGCCTGCTCGATTTGGTCAAACATTGAATTAGCTCACCCCTGAGCCTTGGCAGGGAGGAACGGGCCTTCCATGCCCTCGGGCTGGGCGTTCCCCACCCTGCCCCAAGGCTGGGGTCACTCTCCCTGAAGAAGGCACACTGCAGCGCACTGGATGGCAGAGCCGCCCCTGGTTTGCCCAGGCCAGAGCTGGTCTGCAGTCGCTGGGCAGCAGGAAGCACTGCTTGGAGTACAGGCCCAGCTCACCAGTGGCTTGGCTCACAGGAACCGGGGGCCCTGGTGCAACCCTCCTAGTGGCCGGCTGCACCTGCCTGGCTCAGCATGCGGTGTGCAGAGGAAGTGGGAGCATGAATGCAGCAGGCATGGCCTCCAGGTGTCCTGGTTGGGAGGACATGAGGGACACGTGTCAGGGTGGGACAGGCAGCAGGCATGGCCTCCAGGGTGTCCTGGTTGGGAGGACATGAGGGACACATGTCAGGGTGGGACAAGCAGCAGGAGGCCGGGGTGCAGTCTGTGCTGAGAAGGTCCCACTGCCAAAGATTCTGGTTTGGTTGGGCCGGGTGGAGCCCAGGAATCTGATGACTGGTCCCTGAGACAACACTCGAAGGAGTGGTGGCGTGGGCTGGACTGTTTGGAACTGTGTCTTACTCCATTTCGTACCCTTAGCCTAAGAAAAGGTTGGTGTTCAGATGTGGGCTGAGTGAATGAGCTGCTGAGCCGCCAAAGCAGAGGGCCTTGCAGCAGTATGGAGGCATGCCACCTCTTCTCCAAGGCCCTTAGACACGCAAAACACTGTCTGGCTCCAACTCTCCGAAGATAATGTGTGTTTATTCTTTGATTAGGGGCCCAGTGCATGAATTCGTGCACCTTGAAAGGAACTGTGGGCTGTGAGGCTGCGATGGGCACAGGGGCAGGTCTCGGCCCATCCTCCATGCCCCCGCCCGGCCCCTCCTGCCATGGCCCCCGGTCCCCTCTACCAGCAGCCCCACTCCTGCCACCGCCACTCCCATGTGCTGACAGCGCCGGCCCCGCTCATACCCGCTGACAGCGCGGAGCGATTGGAGCCGGCGCCAGCAGCTGGTGTGAGCGGCGGCTGCTGCCCCAGTCACCCCTCAGGAGCAGGGGCAGGTGGAGAAGCCCTGAGGGGCGATCGAGGCTGGTGCCACGCCAGCAGGAGGTGTGAGCACTGGGTGGGACTGGCACACGGGAGCAAAGAATTTTCAGTAACCACCAGAGGCTCCCCCTGATGACAGCGACCAATGTCCCGCCTTGGTCTGGCGCCCCCACTCACCTGCTCCACTATCCCGCCTCGGCCGACGCCTGCCATGTTCCGCGCGCACCCCCTGGTGGTCAGCGAACCTCATAACGACCAGTTGTTCCGCCATCCGGTCTATTTGCATATTAGGGTTTTATATAGATAGATTTAAGATGGACATTGTGCTGATGCCACTTTTTTTTCTACTTAATAGGGAGAAAGAACCAGAAACACAAAAAGAGGAACGTTTGATGGAAGAAAAGAAAAAGAAAAAGCAGGAAGAAAAGAAAAAGAAGGAAGGTGCTCAGAAAAAGGTTTGGCTGGAGTCGCTGCCTCCTTGTCTTTACGATCATCCCATGTCGCATTTGCATTGTCATGGCCATCACGTTACAGAATTGCATTCTCTTGTAGAAGTCAGGTGCTAAATCTGTAATTAGCAAAAAACAGTTACTGTGCTATGGAGTAAGTATAGGGTGACAGCCATAGCATGTCTGTCTAAAGGGCCTAGAATTGTAAGAGCTGTGTTTCAGAGAAGTTTGGTTTCAGTTGTCGGAAGTAAAGAACGTTCAGACTATTCTCCTTGGAATAAAGTGTCCAGAACAAGCCTGTCTAAGAGATGAGAAAAGGGCCGTTCAACCGATTTTATTAGAAAAGTTAGAAATAATTTTTGCAGCTTTGGTAAATGTTCTTTTACAAACCCTATTAGTAAACATTAAAAATTAAAAGCCCTGAGTCATGCTTGAATTTATGGCATTTAATATACCAAGTGATGCCATTCATTTTTGTTTTTGCCTAGTTTAATACAGCTTATAGTTTAAACTGTATGCCTATAGATTGTATTAAAACGCAGAGCTCCAATGAGCTCCCAGACAGATGTGGTTGCCTTTCAACCAATATTGGCATATAGTCAACAACTAGACATTTTTCCCAGTAATAACTTTTAATAAATGAACTGGGAAAATACTGTTTTTTAAAATTCTCAGTATTAAAGTCTGTTTATAAACTTTCATAGATGTGTACATCCTACACGTTATTCCTAAAGAGTTTCTGATTTTTTTTTTCAGGCTGCTGATCAAAAAACCAAAGGTAAGTTTATTTTATTTGCGGGGGGGCGGCAATTTTATGGCAGTACCAAACTTTTTATGATGAAGATGACTTTTTCTTTAATTGATGGTTAAAAACAAAGACTCCAACCTTGCCTTTGAATCTACTTTACATTATTCACCGTGAAATTCTTCCTTTATCACTGGGTTTACATCTGCATCTCATTGGCATTTGTTTAACCTAAACGCCTGAAGAATGTCATGTTAGCTTTCTAAGCATTGCTTTATAATTTTCCTTTGGTTTAATTTCCACCAAACAGGATTAAACTGATCAATTGCTTCCATTTAAGAACAACTAAGGGATACTGAACTCTTCTAAAGCTTCTAATTTGTCTTTGCCAGCTATTTATAACAAAAAGAGAGATGTTTTTTATGTGTTCCCTCTTTGCTTATGAATATGTAAGATTTCTTTTTATTCTCCAAGTCCGGAATTTGCTCATCACTGTCTTAGTGGGTATTGGTGGAGCACGCGATGCTCACAGTGACCAGGCGTCCCTGTGGTTTGCTCACGATGAGCAAATTGGAAGCGCCACTCGAGCCTCCTCGTTTGTAACATTATTTTTTGTTCACATAAAGGCAGTTTCCAAGTTAGAGAAAGTTATAGTTTATGGCTCTAAAGCAGTGGTTCTCAACCTTCCTAATGCTACGACCCTTTAATACAGTTCCTCATGTTGTGGTGACTCCCAATTTCATTGTTACAAATTGAACATAATTAAAGCATAGTGATTAATCACAAAAACAATATGTAATTATATATGTGTTTTCCGATGATCTTAGGCAACCCCTGTGAAAGGGTCGTTCGACCCCCAAAGGGGTCGCGACCCACGGGTTGAGAACCGCTGCTCTAAAGGAAGCTGACCTTTCTGAGAAAAAATGGATCAGATTACCTGCTTTCTTTTTAATAGCTTATTGAGTTATAATTGACATACAGTAAACCAAGCATGTCAAACTCAAAGGCTAACACGGGCCAAATAAACAAGGTTTAACTTTATGCGGGCCACAAAAAAAACAAAAGCGTCAATTTTCTTAGAAACGTAGGTTTATTTCAATAGAGACATGCTGAATACAAAGGGCTGAAATAAATGAGTCATTATTAACATAAAATAATAGAACATTTTAATAAAAATGAATATTTTTTCTTGAACATTCACTTACCAGACACTGAATAACTGCACAAATTAAGTGTAACGAAAATAAACCTATTTTTCTTGTTCTCCGAAAGCGAAATATTTCCTGTTGCGCAAGCCAAACAGGTCAGTCCAGAACTAATGATATGGCCATCGGCTGCTAAAATATTCACTGCTAGTATTAGTGGAGAGAAATAGTGCACCTTCGAGTAAGGTGCATAAGACGCATAAGGGAAATGAATGCAACACGATTATAGTAATCAGTCATTAGCGAACGTTGTAGTTCGTTATTAATAATTATGTATAACAGGATATTGTAAAAATTAAGTCACAAAATTTTTATTGAAATGTTTTTTACATACCGTTATATTGTATTTTTGCTGAGCCTCAAAAATATTCTTTGTGGGCTGCGAGTTTGACATGCTTGCAGTAAACTGAACATTAAACTTAAAGAGAACAATTTATACATTTTGGCCTGTGCACACCTGTGAAACATCCTAGCAATCAAGACAATGCCCATAAGCCCTGGAAGTTTCCGCACACCCCTCCCCTGCCCCCATCC